AATAATCAGCAAAACTAAAAGGCAACCGACAGAATGGGAGAAGGTATTTGCAAATGACATATCAGATAAAGGGTTAGTATCCAAAATCTACAGAGAACTTACCACACTCAACACCCAAAAAACAATCCAGTGAAGAAATGGGCCAAAGACATGAACAGACACTTCTCCAAAGCAGACATCCAGATGGCCAACCGACACATGAAAAAATGCTCAACATTACTCATCATCAGAGAAATACAAATCAGGGGCGCCTGGGTGGCTCAGTCGGTTAAGTGTCCAACTTCGGCTTAGGTCATGATCTCAGGGTCTGTGAGTTCGAGCCCCGCGTCAGGCTCTGTGCTGACAGCTCAGAGCCTGAAGCCTGTTTCGGATTCTGTGTCTCCCTCTCTCTCTCTGACCCTTCCCCATTCATGATCTGTCTCTGTCTCAAAAATAAATAAACGTTAAAAAAAAAAAAAGAAATACAAATCAAAACCACAATGAGATACCACTTTACACCTGTCAGAATGGCTAACATTAACAACTCAGGCAACAACAGATGTTGGCGAGGATGCAGAGAAAGAGGATCTCTTTTGCACTGCTGGCGGGAATGCAGCCACTCTGGAAAACAGTATGGAGGTTCCTCACAAAACTAAAAAATAGAACTACCCTACAAGCTAGCAACTGCACTAGTAGGTATCCAAGGGATACAGGTATGCTGTTTCAAAGGGGCACATGCACCCCAATGTTTATAGCAGCACTATCAACAATAGCTGAAGTATGGAAAGAACCCAAATGTCCATCGATGGATGAATGGATAAAAAAGATGCGGTATATATATATACAATGGACTACTACTCGGCAATCAAAAAGAATAAAATCTTGCCGTTTGCAACTACATGGATGGAACTGGAGGGTATTATGCTAAGTGAAATTAGTCAGCGAAAGACAAATATCATATGACTTCGCTTATATCAGAACTTTAAGATACAAAACAGATGAACAGAAGGGAAGGGAAGCAAAAATAATATAAAAACAGGGAGGGAGACAAAACAGAAGAGACTCTTAAATATGGAGAACAAAGAGAGGGTTACTATGGGGGGGGGGTGGGCTAAATGGGTAAGGGGCATTAAGGAATCTACTCTTGAAATCACTGTTGCACCTATATGCTAACTAACTTGGATGTAAATTTAAAAACAAATAAATAAATGAAATTGAAAAAACAAAAAGAAAAAAAGAGGAAATGAAACCAAACAGATTAGAAATAGAAGTAGGGGCACCTGGGTGGCTCAGATGGTTAAGCATCCGACTTCAACTCAGGCCATTATCTCACAGTTCATAAGTTCAAGCCCTGTGTCAAGCTCTGTGCTGACACTTGGAGCCTAGAGCCTGCTTCAAATTCTCTGTCTCCCCCTCTCTCTCTGCCCCTCAACCGTCTGCACTCAGTCTCTCTCTCTCTCTCTCAAAAATTAAAAAAAAAAAAAAAAAGAAGTGAATTTATAAATGTAGAGAAGACTATACCTCCATAAGAACAAAGGCAGGGGTTCTCCAAGAAAACCTCTGGGATGGACTAAGTAATAACTAGAAGAAGGAAAAACCTGACATCTCAATTTTGGCTAGCAACACACTATAACTTTTTGGTAGTGATAAGAATGCTTATCTTGGTCTAGCCACCAGAAATGGATGCAGGAAGAGATTTCTTGGGAGAACCTGACACATACCTGCAGGAGTTTAGGACATATGTGAACACAGAAACTGGTCCCAGCCTAGAGAATTCTGAATGCAAGAGGCTAGATGGAACTGTCAAAATTGTAGAGCAAGGAAAAGGAGGACAGTAGTTAGTCAAGCTGTACTTCTACCAGTGGGTTCTTCAATAGGTTCCCCATTAGCCAAACAGATGCTGCAGAAGGGCTAAAGCATCTTAATGGGCCAAAGACACGTGCCTCTGCTACACTGTGCTACACGTGCCTGGTACACTGCAGTACCAGGTCGTAGGGCAGACTACAGGAGGTAAGAGACAGCCAGGAGAAAACTGCCAAAGATAGCCTGAGTGTGTACCACAGTCTCAACAAAGAAGTGGGCAATGGGGACATAATCACGGGGATCTTCAAAAACTTTCCTAAATGCACAACTGTAAATGTCCACACTTGGACACCTGCTACACTGGCAGCTACATTACAACAGTCCTGGTCACAGAAGTCTTTGTCCTTTCTCTTCTAATCTTCCTTCCAATCAGAAGCCAAAAGCAAAAACAGGGAGGAGGTAGAAAAGTGAAGGAAACAGAGCACACTCCCTTTCTTGACTATATGGTCCCTGAGTCATGATTGGGTCTGAGTTCAGGGGAGAAGCTTTCAAACTAGATTTAAGTCTTTGACTAGACTTTTCATACTTGTGAATTTAATCACCAAAATAAGGCTTGTTCTTATAGTTAAAAATAACCTCTTGTCAAGATGTAGGGAAGGAAGATCCAAGATGGCATAGCTAAAGTCAAGGATGAGAGAAAAATAAAGCTAGTTCCTATCTGTATGCAAATCAGATATAGCCCATATACCAGACTTACCAGTCCACAGTGCCACCATCTACTCTGTTAATCAAGTCAGGAACCTAGGAGTCATCCTAGATTCTCCCCCTCCCTAAGACCCTGACATCCAATATTATGTCTTAAACCTCTTTTAACACATCTCTTCTTCCCAAGCCCCTTAGCTACTAGTCTAGCTCAAACCTAAAGTACTAGAATAATCTAACTTAGTGATTTTCTACCCTGGCCCATACTTATGAATCTTAAAATATTAAAACTAAATTCAAACTAATACCTCGGCTCCATTTATGGGGATCCTCATTTATGGAGTCAGGTAGGACCCAGCCATAAGTTTTTTCAAGGGGTCTCCAGGGTGTTTCAAAAGTTCATACATGGTTGAGAATCACTAACCTAACTGGTCTCTCTTCCAGACTGTCTTTCATAATGCCACAAGAATCATCTTTTTAAAAATGCAAATCTGGGGCGCCTGGGTGGCGCAGTCGGTTAAGCGTCCGACTTCAGCCAGGTCACGATCTCGCGGTCTGTGAGTTCGAGCCCCGCGTCAGGCTCTGGGCTGATGGCTCGGAGCCTGGAGCCTGTTTCTGATTCTGTGTCTCCCTCTCTCTCTGCCCCTCCCCCGTTCATGCCCTGTCTCTCTCTGTCCCAAAAATAAATAAACGTTGAAAAAAAAAAAATTAAAAAAAAAAATGCAAATCTTAGAGCATCTGGCTGGTTCAGTTGGTTCAGTGTCTGACCCTTGATCATCTCAATCACAGGATTAAGCCTTGAGTCAGGCTCTGTGCTAAGCATGGATGCTGCTTGAGATTCTTTCTCTTTCTCTCCCTCTGCCCCTCTCCCTCACTTGTGTGCTGCTCTCTCTCTCCCTCTCTAAAAAAATTTAAAAAAAAAAAACATGCAAATCTCATATTAACCTTGAGTAGTGGTTTTCAATCTAGGGTACCCATTAGAATCACTTAGAGAGCTTTTAAAAATCCTGATACCAGGCCAAACTCTAGACCAATTAAAACAGTCTCTAGGAATACAAACCAGGTATTCCCAGGTGATCCCAATATACAGACAAGGAAACCACTGCTCTAGAAGCAATGGGAAGCCACAGAAAGTCTTTTGGAACAATAAAATGCAAACTCCCCTGCAGATAATAAAACCTTCTCTCTAACCTTCATACCCTCACGACTTACACTACCAGAGCAATATAGTTCCCTCAAAGGGCCACGCTTTTCCCCTTTTGTGTAAAGTATTACCTCAATCGAGAAATTACCTCAAAGCAAGTATTACCTCCACTGCTCACCCACAGCTAAGACTCAAACCACCTTTAAGGTTAAGATCTTTCAAGAACAGCCTTTGTATACAGTGTCCCCAACACACAGCTGAGCTCATCAACCCGCCTGTAACTGTCTTGATTCTGTAGGGCAATTCTTAATGTTTACGTCTAACTTCCCTGTTGAACTGCTTGAAGTGAAAAACGTGTCTTATTCATGCTTTTATCCCCAGTGCCTATCACTAGGCATAGCACATAGTAAGCACTCAAATATCTACTGCATTCATTCCATTTAAGTAAATAATTATTTTCTATTATCATGCAGGTAGAATCCCATTATTAATAAAGTGAAAGAGACATCATATTTATATATTATATTCAAGTCTCATTATAACAGAAACCAACAGCTATACTTCTAAAAAATGTGAAACAAATATTTAATGTTTGTTCTATTTATGAATAGTAGTAAATAATGAAAAAGGCCATAAAAAGGGCAGTAAGTTTCCAGAATCACAAAGGTGACATCTCACAGAATAATGATGGTTAGCTTTACACCTGAAATGTCCTTAAAATATACCTTTTCAAAATGTTATGCTGGTATGATGACATCTGCGTGTTTTAGGAAGTGAACTAAGAGTAAAATGACAAGTACTTAGCTACGTTAAAATAAAAACAGATCATGAAAAGCTTTCAAATGATTTGAATGAACTATACTTAAATCTAAAAACTCTGAGAATCTGGTGACCAGCATTTGATGGCAATTTCTAGTACTCTGGGTAATCTGTTACCCAGCAAAAACTCAGGTCTCCACAAAACCCAGGACAGTTTAAGCAGAAAACAGAGTATTTTATCAAAATAACAATAAAGTTACATTCAACATTTTATATTCATATAGTCACTACATATGTGACTTCCCAAAGATAATAATTTTGCACAAATATTAACTTGAGAACTATACACATTATGTACCTCATTCAGAAGATTTTTGTTGTACCCGCATTGATATGGGCCATGGAAATTATCTTAGCATGCAAAAAGATTACTAAGTTACTATGTGTTTAGAATAAGTTCTTTTTTCTTGATTACTAAATTAATCTAGTATTCGATGAAAGCCTATTACTTGTTTGGGAATATGTTAAAATTGAAGTATCTAAAGTGACTAGTAAGAACATAAAGGCATTAACCACAACACTTGAGCATTTGTGGCTAATTTTTTTTTTTTACCTTATTTGGCGATTTCAAAGGTGAGATGGCTATTTTATTTGGTGTCTGTGTTGTAGAATTTAAAGTTGATCCAATAACACCACTTTCAGATATTGTTATGGTCTTTGATGGAGTCCCGGGAGTAGACTGTGAAAGAACCCTACCTGCAAATGAGAGGCAGCACATCAGTTTGACTTTTTTCAATAATGATATAAAATGTATGTGATGATGATCTACACCCACAAAGACTGTAGTCTGTATGTTCACTATTTCATATGTATCCAGGTAGGAACTTAAACACTCAAGTGAGGCCCTAATGAACTAAGGTGAAACTGGTCAGAAGGAAACAAAACAATGCTTCTTAGTAACACTTAGTATCTTAATACCACTTTATGTAAAGTCCATGAAAACACTTCTCACTGTTCTCATCAATCCTGTTAAGTTATATTTATCAGAAAATAGGCTCAGGACAACTGTGCAACATGCCCTGTGTAACACAGTTCCTGAAAGTCAGGCCTTGAATCCAAGTCTCAAAACTTAATCTCTGTACTATACTACAGCTGTTTTACTCTGAACTTAAATCATTCAGGATATAATTTCAACCCACATCTATAAAACAGACATTGGACTAACCTGAAGACTATCTGATTTAATACTATCTGATTTTAGACTGCCAAAAGGAAAACAAAAAGTTCTTCTCGGACAGATTCCAACAGGAGTACAGGAATACTGTGAACCCTTCTGGACACTACCCTTCAGGAAAAACACAGAAAACTGTAGGGTGTCTGGATGGGTTAGGAAATTGGGAATCATCTCACAATGAATTGAAATACTAGGAATTTTTATCCTAGTCAAGAAAGGAATACAAAGACATGACACATCTCCAAATTCTTGAAAGACTGTGTGACAGTCATTAGTGCTAGTCACCAAGTATTCTGGTTCTCTCCCATTCTGGGCACATGGTAGAACTGTGTACTCCCTGCACCCCCCGCCCCCACCCCATTCCTGGTGATTAGGTTAGGGTCACATGACAAGTTCTAACCGATGAACTATGAGTAGAGGTATTGCATTTCTGGGCCAGAACATTTCTGTCAATGCAAGACCTTCCAAAGCTCTACTTTTCCTCTGCCACATCTGAGATGTCGGTTCCTCTGTCAGCTTGAGTCCTTGTGAGACTGTAAGAAGAGCCCCCTTTCTAATCCACAATGGATATGTGATCTTATCAAGTATGAATAAAAAGTGAAAAAATGTTTTTAAACTTCTGAGATTTAGAGATTTTTATTATGGCAGGAAAGCCAAGATTATCCCGACTCATCTCTAGGCTGTCAAGTTGAAGGATTAGAGCCACTCTCTATCACATCAGATGCATAGCACAAATGCACAGAAACAGAAGTTTCAGTTCAGCACTAGGAAAGAACTTCTAACAAAAATTTCCACTTGAAAAGACTGTTTCACCACAAGTGAGTTTTTAGTCACTGAAGGCATTCCAAGCAGACGCTGTATAATCAAATTCACTGGCTGAAAAGGGAATTCAAGCACCCAAAGAAGAGAAAAGGTAGATAACTACATTATCTCTAAAACTCCTTCTTAGATGCTATGATTTAACTTATAAATATATCTGGAGATGAAAGAGAGAGGGAGAGAGGGGAGAGAAAGAGAAAAAAGAAAGGACTTTCTCTTTAGACAAAAATAAAAAACTAGCACTTAAGAGCTTCCGGATTATTTTTTTCTGACACAGTATACAGTTTCTTTTTTAAAATCAAGTTGATCTGACATTTATGAATGTTTAAAATATTTTCAATTTATTTGTAGTACACACGTACATTTAATTTCATTGAAATAGTCATTAACAAATTTCAGTTGAGAGTTGATTTTTTTTAACCTGAATAACATAACTAAGTAAGTCAATTCTATATAAACTAAATGAATCTGCATCAAATATTTTTAGACCACCCTAAAGTGCTAAACCTGCCTGAAATAAAATGATTGCCTGTTCTAGTTTCTAAAACTAGTTATCTGTGGGATAAACCTGAAGCCCAAAAAATGATTATATTAAGAAAATAAATTATCGGAGCACCTGGGTGGCTCAGTCGGTCAAGCATCTGACTCAGTTTCGGCTCAGGTCATGATCTCGTGGTTCATGGGATGAATCCCCACATTCGGCTCTGCACTAACAGTGAAGAGCCTGCTTGAGATTCTCTATCTCTGCTCTTCCCCCAACCCCCCTCAAAATAAACAAACATTAAAAAAAAAAAGAAAAGAAATGACCAATAAAGACACAGTTTTATAAAATGCTCATCACTTATGGTTATTACTATAACTTCTTATTTGTTTGGCATTACATAAATTCAGAAAAAAGTGTCAGAAAGAGTTAATGCAGAAAATCCTCAATTCCTGAAAATAGCTGATCCAGAAAAGGCCACTTAAAGTGAATTCATTTAAGACCGGGACAAAAATTTCACTACAAATAAGAAAACTAAGAGTAAATCTTTCAGTTTTCTTTTCTTTTTCCTTTTTTTTTTTTTTTTGCTTATATTTAACAAAACTCGAGTTTATAATTAAAACTACAGTAACTCTTAGGATGAACTGTTAAGTCTAGGGGAAAGAGGATTCTTCTGAAAATTAGTGTGACAGCACAATGACAGATGCAGTTTGAATGGGCACAACTTGATCATACTGAATGTCATCTCTGCCAGGCCCAAATATTTCAGGATTTCATCAATTTTCCCAAGAACCCTCTATACTTGTTAAAATTCAAGTTACTCTTAAAAAAATTTTTTTTTGAGAGAGAGCATGAGTGAGTGAGGGCAGACTGAGAGGGAGAGAGAGAATCCCACGAGGTGCAGACAGAGAGAGAGGGAGGGAGACACAGTGTGGAGCCTGGGGGGGGGGGGTGGTGTTGAGCTCACGAACCATGAGATCATGACCTGAGCCGAAGTCGGATGCTTAATTGACTGAGCCACCCAGGCGCCCCTCAAGTTATTCTTTTTGAGGGGCTTGCTTGTTTTTCATCCAGATAGCATCCCTCCTGATTATCTAATCTCCAAATCCCTATTTATCCTTAGCTCCACAGACAGATTCAACAAGTATGCAAATTCTACAACCTCCCCTTGAAATCAATTTGCAAGGTATTTACACTCCACTGTCAGTTGTTCTCCAAGAATCAAGAAACATACTCCAAAAGATAGGGGATGGGGGACAGGCAGGGAGCTGGCTTATCTAAGCAAGGACTAATTCTTAAGGGATTAATTTATTAGTGAATATTTTCACATTGATAAAGCTTGCTCCACTGTAGAAACCTTGTACCTCGGGAGCTCTGATAACAAGGACCTCTGTATCTCATTAAACTGTCTCCAAAGCCTTCTGAAGTGTGTGGAATCAACATTTTATAGAAGAGGAATCGGTAATTATTTACCCAAGATCACAGACAAAATCTATACAAGAGCTATGACTAAAACCCAAGTTTCCCAATAGCTCCTTCCACACCACCACATTGCTTCCATGATATACATATTCATTCAAAATACATATTCACTGAACCACATCTATGTGCCAGAAACTGTGCCAAGTCTGGAAAGAGAGATAAACAAGGTAAAAGAACTATCGTTAATGTGGCACATACACACAATGGAATATTATTCAGCCTAAAAAAAAATTCTTACATGCTACAACACAGATGAACTAGGAGGACATTGTGCTGAGTGCAATAAGCCAATTACGAAAGGACACATACTGTGTGATTCCACTTATATGAGATATGTAGAGTAGTCAAATTGATAAGAGACAAAAAGTTTCTGTTAGGAGTTGGGAGGGAGGGAAGAATGGGGAGTTATTGTTTAATAATGTAGAGATTCTGTTTTGCAAAATGAAAGAAGTTCTGAAGATGGATGGTGGTGACGGTGGTACAGCAGTGTAAATATACTTAATGCCACTGAATAGTCCACTTAAAAATGATTAAAATGTTATGTATGTTATGCCACAATTTATGTATGTATTTTTATCAAAATTTTTTAAATATAAATTAATTTTTAAGAGAGTTTTGTTTTGTTGAGAGAGAAAGAGACAGAGAGAGGCTCAACCAACTGAGCCTCCCCAGTGCCCCAATATAAATTAATTTTTAAAAATTACATGACAAACAAAACAAAGCCAAAAAATTACCACTAAGGAAAATTATAAATGTAGTAGGGGAAACAGACAAGAAAACCAAGTATTATAACACAGTGTGACTAATGGAAATATTAAAAACCAGTATGAAATGTAATAGAAGTCTAATTAAAGTTAAGAATTTGGTAGGTATAATTAAGTTCTAAGGGAATACATAGGAGATGATCAGGGGAAGAGTATGGCAAACAAAGGCATCGTAAGTAAAAAGGAATGCCAAGATCCTAAATCCCGAGAGAACATGGTCTATTTGGTAATTTCTTAAAATAAGTTAAATTAGGTGAAAATGAAAAAGGTATGTATTCGATCATAAATGCCTTTAATGTTAAAAAAGCACTGGCATCTAAATTCAAATCTGACAGACTGAAGCCAAGAAACTGATAAGAAATGAATATGGCCAAGAAAATCTGAAGCAAGGGTGTGACAAGATCAGATCTGCATTTTTAAAAAAATCACTTAGGGGCGCCTGGGTGGCGCAGTCGGTTAAGCGTCCGACTTCAGCTAGGTCACGATCTCGCGGTCCGTGAGTTCGAGCCCCGCGTCAGGCTCTGGGCTGATGGCTCGGAGCCTGGAGCCTGTTTCCGATTCTGTGTCTCCCTCTCTCTCTGCCCCTCCCCCGTTCATGCTGTCTCTCTCTGTCTTAAAAATAAATAAACGTTGAAAAAAAAAAAAAAAAAAAAAAAAAAAAAAATCACTTACACACAAACTTAAGTTTATCTTGACTGTAAGACAGAAAAAGATTTCCATCGTCAATGAGAAGCCCAAAAGTCGTTAAAAAACAATCTAAATGTACTTTGAAAAGTCAATAGCTACAATATAAAGATTACAGAACCTCCTTGTGATAAGAGAATTCAGCAGGAGAGGTACTTCAGTGTTTAAAAATTTTTTTTTTCAATGTTTATTTATTTTTGGGACAGAGAGAGACAGAGCATGAACGGGGGAGGGTCAGAGAGAGAGGGAGACACAGAATCGGAAACACGCTCCAGGCTCTGAGCCATCAGCCCAGAGCCCGACGCGGGGCTCGAACTCACAGACCGCGAGATCGTGACCTGGCTGAAGTCGGACGCCTAACCGACTGCGCCACCCAGGCGCCCCTAAAATTTAGTTCCTAAGAATTTAAAAAGCTATATAATGGAACTAGTTGACAGTGGAAATTCTCTCTCCAAACTGAACTTAATGCCAATGATTCTAATGAAATTTAATAGAAGTCTATCTATGCCTTTTGGTAGGGCCAAGAAGTCTGCCCGTAATTAAAAGGTGAAACTATGATTAATGTGCAAACACATTATATAAATGACCCAAAGACCCAGCAATGATATCAATATAGTCAAATGTCAAAGGTGAAATCTTGGCATTGACCAAATGTTCACTCAGGCACATGTACAAACACCACAATTGTTTAGCGTATAATTTTCCCACACAATTAAAAAATGTAAGGGACTCTCTCAAGCTCAGAAATAGTAAAAAACACTGCACTGAGAAATTCCTCTTGGTTAACCCCCTCCACCAAAAACTCCCAAAAACTTCCCAGGGGAATGTTGGGGTCCCTTTTTCATCAATACATCCAAAGCCTTCCTTACTTTCAGCCAACTGAAGCCCACTTCTGGAACCAGATCCAAATCCAAATGCTTTCCAATCTTCCCTCTGGGGCCATACTTGTCCCCATGACAGCCCTCAAGACAGCAGCCTCCTATAACATCACAAATCTCTGCTGAGGGCCAAAAGAGAAAAATACATTCACCCAACAATACTGCCCTCAAACTACAATCTTTCCATGCCTCCTCTCACTTGCTAAAACGAGAAGCCTCCCTAAACACAATGCAAAGCTTCAGGAAAATGACAGATCACTGCCACTGACTTCAGAGTTGCCTGTTGTTACACTGTCTATAAATTTATCAAAAATGGTGGACAGTGGTTTTCATATATATCCTCTCCCACCTACCCCTCACGGTTAGTTAACATTTAAAGTACCTTCCTCAAGAATACACATTCTAGGAATGGGTAATTAGCATTTGAAAGTATCTAGTCAAAGTTTACCATCCAGAGGTACTTCCATAAGCCCTTAAAACACAATGGAAATTAGAAATGAGCTCCTAAGTGGTGAAAACGTTCATGTTAGTACAGCTCTGAATTAAAGACCAGTCACCATGGCTGTATGTCTCTAGAAAGATCACACTGCTTGCCAGGCAGAGTAAGAAGAGTGCTGGACTTAAGCCATTATAGAAGGAGAAAGGGAAAGGAATATCAATGGTGTTGCAACGAAGTGATAATTATGGGTCTTGGACTCCATATTGACTAAGGAAGAATCTGAGGACAGGAAGTGAGTGATTCTTGAAAAAGAATGATTAACAGATCAGAGATCTCAACAAAGTAAAAGAACTGCCAGATTGGGAATACAATGGCAGATAAACTAATAAAGAAAACGAAATACTCAAAGTCAAGATTTGAGGTGTTACAGTAATTGGTGATGACAAATTATTAAAGTATATAATAAAGAGCATTCGGCCACACTGAAGAATTTGCTGGTAAATATAGCTAAAATTTTGTTATCACATAAGTAATTGCTATCATTGTGACCATTTTCTGTTCATAGAAAACTGCATATAAAGCATTTTGAAACCAAAAACAAACAGAAACCATGAAATAGTATACTCTCACGTGTATTAATTTAAATCTATTAAACTTAGCTACGTGTGCTCTAGAGACAAACTGCCTGGGTTCAAATCCCAGTTCGGCCATTTACTGGCTGAGTGCCTCCATTTCTACACTGGTAAAATGGGGCTGTTATTAGTACCTACCTTCCAGGATTGCCCAAGGGCTATATAAGTGACTACATGTAAAGGGCTAAGAATAGTGCGAGGCATGTGGTAAACACTAGATGAATGTTAGCTAGTATTACTGAAGGTTAAGACTTTGCTACTTTCATGGTAAAATTCTACCAAAAACTAAGGAGACTAAAGTAATGGACTGATTTTGAGATAAGGCATTTGCTCAGAGCACACATTTAAATAAGTGTAAGAAATAACATTTCTTATTAACTAGTTTGGTTTATAATAATAACCCTACTTGTTGCACTAAAACATTTCAAGATGGCAGAACAGCCTTTCTTAAACCTAAAAGGAAGGTAAATATATAGCTTAATAAACTATAAAGAAATATAACCTGCAATGACTGGTGGTGATACTTGAGTTGTCTGTCCTGTAACTGCTTTACTATTAATTGGTTTTGCAAAGATCAGCTTCGTGATTACTGGACCAGAGGTTGGTGTTCGAGGCTTCTTAGCAATCTGAAATATATAAATAACTATGAAGGCCATTTGTTTCTGTAAAACACCTATTCAGTCAAAATTAAACAGAAGATTGATATACAGAAGTACATATGAAACCGGCTCATTTAACAGAATATATCTAAATATTAATGTTAAAAACATCTAAAATGCAGCCATTCATCAAAATACTAATATGATCCCATCCTTAAGCCAATATATAGCAATACCTTTACATTGTATTGTAAATCCTTACTTTAGTCTGTAGGATAATATGCATATGATGAAAACCAAAAGAGTATTTAAAAATAATTTTAATGCTTAATAATGCTTAATAATAAACAATAATAAAACATGACAGCAATATTTTCTCAAAATAACAAATTATTCAGTAATAAAAAGATAGAGTCAGTTAAGAAAGCATAGTGCAAATGATGAAGCCACCTGTAAATGCAATTACATTGGCCCCTGGAAGCAAAATATGAATACACATTAAAGACAGGTTATGATTAGATCCTCAGCTTTAGATCTATATATTAGGGTAGATAAACAAACAACTGAGTAAGTTAATATCCTAGGATACAAAGAGACAAGTTTGGCAAAACAGACTATTCTGAAGACAAAGCCTCTAGAAATACCATTTGCTAAAATACTGTTTATTAGACTATCAATTCTTTGAAGGTAGGGTCTATATTTATTCATTCCTGATCTTAAATTATATTGGCATCCTGTTCACCTGAACTAAAATTCTCCACAAGTCAAAGAGGATAGAGTTATCAATGTTTTAATATTGAAATTATCAATGTATGCAAAGATATAGCTTCTTCTAAAAGTTAAAAGCAGAAATTTAGTTGTGATAGGGGAGACATTAAATATTTTGTCAGATATGAAAACTAAGGCCCTGAAATTGCTATTATTGGAAATAAAGACTTAAAATGAATAAACATGAGGGGCACCTGGGTGGCTCAGTCGGTTAAGCATCCGACCGGCTCAGGGCATGATCTCACGGTCCGTGAGTTCGAGCCCCGCGTCAGGCTCTGTGCTGACGGCTCAGAGCCTGGAGGCTGTTTCGGATTCTGTGTCTCCCTCTCTCTCTGACCCTCCCCCGTTCATGCTCTGTCTCTCTCTGTCTCAAAAATAAATAAAAACATTACCAAAAAATTTTAAATGAATAAACACGACCAATTTGAATAACATAAACATACCAGAAGCTGCAATGGATCACAGACCTAGAAAAATATCAGCGTTGTGCTCAAATTATAAACTAAATAATACATTACCTTATACTTAGAATATATTACTTTCTTACACTCAGAACATGTTACTGACAAAAAAAAATATAAATGAAATACAAATCATTTTTTAAAAAAACAAAACAAGGAGATCCATTACTGTATAAAAAAATACCCGGCTTGGGGGCACCTGGTGGCTCAATTGGTTAAGCATCTGACTTCGGCTCAGGTCATGATCTCACAGTTCATGAGTTCAAGCCCTGCATCGGGCTCTGTGCTGACAGCTCAGCTAGGAGCATGGAGCCTGCTTCGGATTGTGTGTGTGTCTCCCTCTGCCCCTCCCCTGCTCACGTTCTGTCTCTCTCTCTCTCAAAAATAAATAAACATTAAAAATTAAAAAAAAAAAAATACCCAGCTTGCAAAACTGATATATCCAAATAAATGTATAACCATTGATGCAATTTGGGAGACATAAAGGGGATATATTTCCCAAATGTATTTACAGGCCTAAATTCTAAAATAAGTTAGAATATGTCATCTATTGACTTATTAGTAATCTCTAAAGATAAAAGTATTGATGTTCTTAGAAACCCATGTCTTATAATAAACATTCTTTTGGAGCTTAGAGTATTTCTCCATTTTTAACTGATTTTCACAATCATATGACTATATGAATACTTACCAATCAGGAAAAAATGTAAACAATACAACCAAAGGCACATTAATTATTCAAATGAATAATTCCAATTTGCCCCTGTGGCTACATTTCTTTAGTGGCTCATTGTTGAAAATAACAGTTTATAGTTCCTTCAAGGAACTATAATAATTTGTATTATAAATTCTAAACTACTCTAGAACAAAATTATTAAGTAAAACAAAACATAAAGTATCACTTTTAATAAATTTATCTAATCAACAAAGACAAAAATGAATCAAAAAAGGAAATTTACAAATATAGCCCAATATATAATCAAATAATACATGCAGGTAATAATTGGCATTGTATTATATAGACTCAGCAACTAATAAGGAGCTATATTGTTCCAAACTCTTAGTTATTAATTACTCTTACACACTACGCACAAGAAACATGGGAAAGTGTTTATATATCTGTAATTAAGTGTAACTATACCTCTTTGTTACTGCCTCTGGCCTCAACTGTCACCTCTTTCCTTCATTTCTCAAGATGGGTCTCCTTCTTCCACCCTTACCTGCTGTCCATACCCTAACAGTTTCAATACTCTGATTAAACTTAAGACAACGCTGAGGATTGTCTAGGAAAAAAACCAGAGAATCATATACACCGTGTAATACTAAACCACATATTCTGGTGCCTAAAGAGGAAACATAGATGTGTAGCTTCTTATTTGTTGTTTTTTTTTTCTAGGCTTTAGAGCTTTGTAGCTTTTTACTTTTGAATTGGAAAGATCTGATTTGCCTAAAAATAACTGGACAAGTGGAACAATATTCTAATATTCTAAGTTTTCTTCTGTTTTTGTTATTTTTTTAAAATAGAAGTTCTTTTTTTAATAAACAGAATCAGGTTTTATAAAATTAACAATAAATGCTTTCACTGTAAGTACTTAGGGGACTGTAATAGAAACCTTGTAGATACAAGTAAACTGGTCATGAAACAGCATGCATACATTGCTCTAATAAATGAAAAAAAAATGACATTCTGATTTTCATTATCAGTTTATTGTGAATGTGGTTATGATCCACATCTCCAAAGCCAGATAAACTCTGGTAAACTAATAAAAACAAGTTTCAAAACTGATTTTAAAAAGACAAGATACTTGACAACAAGATGCTTGATGGTATTAGTATATCTCATTCAAGAGATTCTCATCAAAAGAAGTAAAAGGAAGTCAGAGATAAGTGACAGATGATAATGAACAAGAAAGAAAAGGGCACTAAATATTTAATAGTGGCAGGAGGAACATGGGTAAATTACAAGGTTTGAGAAATCATACAAAGTGCTTAAATAAAAAACCCAATAAAAATAAGCTTCTAGTTATTTTGCCAACCTAATAACCAAAACATTATTTCTAATATCAGCAGTGTGGATAGTTCCTCAAATCTTCCTACTGCTTTATATACCTGCATGAGTTCTCTAACTCACACCTCCTTTTTTCTGGAAGATGAACCTTTCAAACAGGGAATGCATTTGTGTTTCCTGATATTAAGTGGATCATTTTATTTTAAGAGCAGTGGTGACCTCAAAAGGCCTATTTGAGCATAAAAAACTGGGAACCATTGAATGTATGCTCTGTTAACCTTCTATCTTAGGATCCTGTTCATACTAACAATAGGAACCATTCTGAAGGATCCTTGAAGTTTTGAGAACTACATCAGTACTATCTTTTACTATGTATTTCATCATGATCAAATAGCCATCTTCCAGCTAAAGCAAAAAACTCAGAGAAGTAACCGATCCAAAGTTCCACAGGTGATAGGGTAGCACAGAGGTCACTCAAATCCAGCTGGTCCAATTCTAAAGCCAGTATGTTACCTTCCATCATGTGACACTGCCTCTTCCACACTGTAAACACGAGTGATGGCAATGGACAGTAAACTGCAAAGAGGTGGCACACGCTGGCTAGTATGTACTATTGCTGGCTCCAAGGGTTTCTCAGAGCAGCAAGTTTTCCTAGACTTTGGCCATCTGTTAACTGAAAAATATTATGTCTGAATGATTTTTTGACAGCCTAGCAGCAACTCTGGTATCTTTATACCAGCAGAGCATACGTGCAATCAAACTACTACTGAGAATAAAATGCATTTAAAAATGAGGAAAAAGCTATAAATACACTAAATTAGAAATTTAACAAAAATTAAGTTTGCTCTAAGTCCTCTAGCAAACATTTTCAAAGCATTAGACATATCAAATTTTACAAAAAAAACCCCACAAAATTACTAAAAGCAACATTCAAAAGAATTCAATAACAACTATGCATTTAATTACCCTACAAACACAACTAAGAATCAATTTAATTTTTAACATGCAATTGAATTAATAAGCCCCCTTCTTTTTTTTTTTTTTTTTTTTTTTTTTTTTTTTTTTTTTTACCTGTACTGTTTTTAACTGTTGGGTCTGTAACACAGAGGGCTGAGTTGTTGTATTAATCAGTTGACTTCCTGGGGTCAATGCTGAGACACCAATGACAGGTTTCACCTCTGGCCTCCCTCCAATGGTAACTACTTTAATTTGCTGCGGTGGTAACTTAGCATCTCCTGACTGGGCCTGAGTTGTAACTTTCTGAGCCTGGGGTAGTTGGCTATGGGGTAGTGCTAAAACAATTGGTGAACCAGACTTGCCCAAAGTTGTTAAAATTAACTTCTGTCCATCTGGTTTAAGGGTCTGATTGCCAAGTTTAAGATCTGATGTCTGTGATACTTTGTTTAAAATAATCTGATTGGCTGATATAGTCACAGGAGTCTGAGCACCAAGTTTTTGAAGGCCACTTGGAAAAGCTGGTTTCACTGTGGTATTAGAATCTGCTTTAGTAATTGTGGTATTCACTGCAACTTGGTTAGTGTGGTTACTGTACACTGTGATTGGTTCCGTGGAAATGGGCGTGGCTGTAGAGTCACCAGTAGAATTTATGTTGACAATTTCTTCCAGTTCTGTCTCCATGGGAATTGGGGATGAAACAATAACAGCCTCAATACTATCATCATCCACTAAAGTTATACCAGTGTCCATTATCTCCTCTGGAAGCAAACTATTCACCTCAGCTGGCACCACCTCCATGATCGTTCTCCAGCTAGAAAGTTGATCAGGCGCTGCAATAAAGTTGAAAATGAATAAATTACTAGTTTTCAAAACAGATTTAAGAAAAAAAATTATTTAAAAAAATGCATGTGACAAAATCATTATTTATTACTGATGTATAATTGAGCGACAAACTTGAAACTACTGACAAACTTGAAAACTGCTGATTCACACAAAGAAAGATTAAAATGTAAACAAATATTGGAAAATATCTTTTTTTTTTTTTATTTAAAAAAATTTTTTTTCAATGTTTATTTATTTTTGGGACAGAGAGAGACAGAGCATGAACAGGGGAGGGGCAGAGAGAGAGGGAGACACAGAATCGGAAACAGGCTCCAGGCTCTGAGCCATCAGCCCAGAGCCCGATGCGGGGCTCGAACTCACAGACCGCGAGATCGTGACCTGGCTGAAGTCGGACGCTTAACCGACTGCGCCACCCAGGCGCCCCTGGAAAATATCTTCAAATCTCTAGGGAGCTAGGTCCTAAAATGAGGGTAGTTTGCCATCTATAAAAATCCATTAAATACTCAAAATAATGTTAAAGGAGTTCCAGAGTAATCCATCTCAGCAAGTGCAGATTAAATGACTTATTTGGCTCAAGTCTGATCAATTAACTTCATACCAAAAACAACTTTATTTGGAAAAAAGATTCTCAAATCCTCCTTGGCCATTTAAAATGTCAAAAAAGAAAGCATTTAAAAGGCGTAAAAACCAGTCTCATTACAAAAAAAGTGGTAATAATAATAAAGCAGATTACGAACAAATCAGAACTATGATGCTTTTATTTATTACTTTTAATGTTTTTTAATGTTTATTTTTGAGAGACAGATGCGCGCAGAAGGGCAGAGAGAAAAGGGGACAGAGATCTAAAGCGGGCTCTGCGCTGACAGCAGTGAGCCCGTCAGCCCAATGTGGGGCTTGAACTCATGAACCATAAGATAATGACCTGAACTAAAGTCGGACACTCAACCGAGTCACCCAGGCACCCTGGAATTGTGATGCTTTTAGCCAAAGGTTATGTAGAACTTCCAATAAAGAAGTCAGTACCCTTATCTAAACATTACATCATGATCATGACTGACTAAATAGTAATGTTGCTTGCCCATACAACATTAAAGATCCACAGAAACCTAATCAGCATTCTTTCTCCCATTTTTTAAAATACAAAAATACAATACCCATTCTGAGATTAACAGACATGAGCAACAAATTATAATTAGCACTGACAGATACTAATAGGGCCAAAATTAATCATTATTGAGTGTTTGCCAATGACAGCACAATTTATCCTCACAACCATTCTGAGACAGTATCATTACCACTCCCATATTACAGATGAAGAAACTTAGATTATAAAATCCGTCCCAGGTCACATAACTAGTAAATGATAGAGCCCAGACTCAAACTCAGGATATGTTTTATGATACCAAAGTTCATAATTTTAATCACAAAATTACATTGCCTTAAACTTTTACCACTGATATTTTTTAAATGAAGAAAAAAACAAGTCTACTCCTTTACAGTCAATCCCCTACCCCAAACATCCCAACCTACACAACCACTACTCTATCTCTATAGATTAGTTTTGACTTTTGCCCATTCTAGGATTTCACATAAATGGAATCATACATTGTGTACTTGTGACATAAAGGAACCATGCAATACGACTGAAATTTATCTTCATTCCTTCACTTACTACAAGTTCTGTTCCTTTTTTTTGTTGAGTAATATTCTATCATATGAATCTACCACAATTTGTTTATCCATTCACATGTGAATGGACGTCTGTAGTGTTTCCAGTTTGGGATTCTTATAAATAACACTGCTAGTTTGTTATGGATATATATTTTCATATTTTTTGAATAAAGACAAAGAAGTAGACTTGCTGGGTCATAAGGTAAATTTATTTTTAACTTTCCATGAAACTGCCAAACTATTTCCCAACTTGGCTGTACCACTGTATACACCCACCAGCAATGTGCAAGAGTTCCAGCAGCTCCACATCCTCGCTAACAACTGGTATTATCAGTCTTTTTAATTTTAGCCATTCTAATGGGTGTGAAGTGATATCTCATTGTGGTTTTCACTTGCAATGCCCAAATGACTAATAACAATGAGCATCTTTTTATATATGCAGTGTATTGTGCATCTTCTTTTGGTTTTTTTTTAATTTTTTTTAATGTTTTTATTTATTTTTGAGACAGAGAGAGACAGAGCATGAATGGGGGAGGGGCAGAAAGAGAAGGAGACACAGAATCGGAAGCAGGCTCCAGGCTCTGAGCCATCAGCCCAGAGCCCGACGTGGGGCTCGAACCCACAGACCGTGAGATCGCGACCTGAGCTGAAGTCGGATGCTTAACTGACTGAGCCACCCAGGTGCCCCTTGTGCATCTTCTTTTGAAAAGTGCCTGTTAAAATCTTTTGCCTTTAAAAAAATATACTGGCTTTTTTTGTCTTCTTTTTTTTTTTTTTTTTAATTTTTTTAACGTTTTATTTATTTTTGAGACAGGGAGAGACAGCATGAACAGGGGAGGGTCAGAGAGAGAGGGAGACACAGAATCTGAAACAGGCTCCAGGCTCTGAGCTGTCAGCAAAGAGCCCGACATGGGGCTCGAACTCACGGGCCACGAGGTCGTGACCTGAGCCGAGGTCGTGACCTGAGCCGAAGTCGGCCGCTCAACCAACTGAGCCACCCAGGCGCCCCGCTTTTTTTGTCTTCTTATTGAGTTGGATAAGCTCTTTATATATACTATAAAATTATCAGTCACAATAACTTGTAGCTCAAAGGAATGACTAGCATTTTGAGACTTCAAAGTACTAACATTTCTCTACATGCAGCTCTTTCTGATCAGGAGAATCCCCTCAGATATTTATGGGAACTTAAAGTAGACATGTAAAAACATCAACACCAATTATGTCTTTAGCAATGGGAGTCACAATAGTACATAACAACAAAGGGCCCAACCCATCATGTCACATTAGCTTCCCTCACCTACTGCAAACAGTGCCCAAGCCCCATCAGTTGCATCTGCACACTCTATTCCCCACAGAATAAGGCAGGATGATGACTTGGGTGCCAGTATCCAACAGAGCCATGAAGTTTTGACTCCCTGCTCTGAATCTCCACCAGTATATTTAGACACGTGGGTATGGCCTTTGGTCCCCGCTTAAGGACAGGGAGATCTTTGCCCAATCTCTATTCATCCCTCTCCTTAAAGCATCTGAAGTCAAGGTGTAGGAGGAGGGAGAAGTTCAAGTCACAGAAGGAGATATGGTTTGGCAATGAATTTACTTTCAGTTTCAATTACCCACAGTTCCAACTCAACTAAACAAACTTCTAATTCACCCAAAATTCTATATCCTCTGATACCAATATCTCAGCTTTCGGGATCCTTAACTCAGTGACTACAGCCACACTGCCTTTCAGCTGGGGCTATGGAGTTGAGTGTACAACAATCAAAGCACCATTTGGGCTCTCCGTTCAGACCCTAACTATCCATTAAGAGACAGAACACTGGAATACTTCCCCTGCCCCTGCCACCTTTGCCCACTACTTGGGTGACAGCATTCACTACTAGATGCCAGAATCTTTTCATATCCCCTAACCTAGTCGACATGGCTCTCATCCTTCCTCTTTCATAAAGCTATGTCTCTGCCAGCACTCCATTTTCATGGCCCAAACTGCCAAGACCTGTGAGCAATCTGAGATTTCAGACCCTCTTTGTAAGCTAACTGAGTTTCCTGTTACCATTTCACAGATACTGGCAGACCACACAGTAGTCCTAGGTAGAGACACAGGACTTACTACATACAGTATAGTAGGAACATGAGAGAATCATGTTTGTATCACAACTAAGAACCCTGAGCTCAGAGAATCTGATTCATTTGTAATGGGCTGAAGCACACCTGCCCTTTTGTCCACAAGAAGATATTATCTTTATTATACTGCACAATAAGCAAATCTGCCCTTGGCTACAGCACGAGTCACTATTTCTACCATTCAAGGCTGTTTGCTATACAAACATCCTAGAAATGATCATTTAAAAGGGCAGTTGCTGCCTCAGTTGCAGAGGTGCAGGAATGCAAAGAGCAATGGAAAACTGTCTCCGAACAGTATATCTCTCTACTTACTTATCTTAGTAATGTTTTATATTTCAAATGTACATGTCTTGCACATAAATTCATCCCTACGCATTTCATGTTATTTGATGGATTGCAATTGGTTTTTCCATTTTCAAATTGTTGCTAGTATATACAACGATTTTTTTTCATATTGTTCATGTAGCCTACAACCCAGGTAAACTCACTTATTAACTTTAGTTTTTTGATGTAGATTCTTTAGGATTTTCTACAAACACAATCCATGCTGTTTGAGAATAATGTCTGTATTTCTTCCTTTCCAGTCAGTGTGTCTTTTATTTCGTTTCCTTGCCTTACTACACTGAGTAGGACCGCCAGTAAAATGTTTAATAAAAGTGGTAAGAGGGGCGCCTGGGTGGCGCAGTCGGTTAAGCGTCCGACTTCAGCCAGGTCACGATCTCGCGGTCTGTGAGTTCGAGCCCCGCGTCGGGCTCTGGGCTGATGGCCCAGAGCCTGGAGCCTGTTTCCGATTCTGTGTCTCCCTCTCTCTCTGCCCCTCCCCCGTTCATGCTCTGTCTCTCTCTGTCCCAAAAATAAATAAACGTTGAAAAAAAAAATTAAAAAAAAAAAAGTGGTAAGAGCAGACATCTTTGCCTTACTACCAATCTCATTTGTTAGATATGGGTTTTTCACAAATTCCCTTTATCAGGTTCAGGAAGCATATTTATATTCCAGTTTTTGGAGTTTGGTTGGTTTCTTTTTTTTCCCCCAATCATAAATGGATATTTCTGTCATATGCTTTTTCTGCAAATATTGAGATAATCACACAACTTTTCTCTTTTAGCCTTGAATTATATTGACTTTTTTATTATGAAGCCAATTTTGCATTCCCGAAATAAGCCCTATACTCAGTCATGATGTATTACATTTT